TCGTCCCTTTCCTTAAACCGTATTATTTTATCGTCTGAAGAACAAAATTTCGCCTATAAGTTACATAGATAATGTGTAATATAGAGTATTATATTTACGAACATTCTTCCGCATAGGAAATGATGAAAAAGAAGTTCAATGTGATCTATTGATAAAAACTAAAGCATATTTTAAAATATCGTAATGTAAGCATTTTGTTTCATCAATATCCAAGTATCTGTAAATGACAACTGGCAATTAAAGCAAAATTCAATAGTGACCTTGAGATCAAGGTCATTTCAAGGTCAATATTATAGTTGAACTATTCAAGATGTCCGTTCTGTCATAAATGTATGAATGACATCTGATCATTGATAGCAAAGAAATCGCAGTTTTATCACAATTCAATAATTTGACTGAAAATATGTCCTTAATTTTGTATTCAAAGGCAAATAACTCTTGATATATTCAGTCGTTTTAGCTCATAAATGAACTTGATCGAGACCTTATTGTTATACATATCTGTGTTAAATATTTAAGAATGGAGAAGAAACGAAAGCACTAACAAGGTGAAATATAGTGCGTTCGTTGGAGTGGTAACAATGTGAAATATAACAGATATTGTAATTCAAGGGCAGATAACTCTGGACATATTGCTTAGGGTATGTGGATTCTAGAATGGTAATAAGCTGAATTTGGACGGACAGACAGACAGGCGCATACTCAGGTGAGCTAAAATTAACACACAATAGCACCTGATAATAACTTGTCAAAATTAACGAAAATAATATAAACTTTTAAATATGGACGTTATGCGGCAGGTCCATGCCTTTTTTTTTTCGCAAAATGTACGTCAGAAAAATGCGGACGATATGCGCCGCAAAACGTCCATATACGTACGTTTTGCGGTACGGACGTTTTGCGGTGTTACAAGGCATACTGTGGCTGGATTCCGCATTATTGAAAATTTATATATAACAATATGAGTCTCTAATTTGATTGAAGTTACTAATACGTTCTTCACTTAAAGTCTGATAGTTTCTGTAAAAACCATAAACCATAAACGATAAAGTAGATCATGCCTCTAGTTTACTTCTTTAACAATTACAAATTCCATTTGAATAAAATAAAAACTTGAAAAAGTAATACTTTGACATTGTGTGTTTATAAACTTTACAGTCATTTCCCATACTGTATCTGATACAGATATTAATCTTAACATGTATTTTTATTTCATTAAATTATCTAAAAATACCAAGATATGTGTACATGAATAATATTCTTTCAGTTTCTGTTTAACAAGGCACTTTTATATCAATTAAAATACAATAGATTTTAAAAGTCTTTTCGGATTATACCTAAAACATTGTAATTTTATGTGTAATATATTTTTCCAAACATTCCATAGGAATCAGACATATTGAGCTTAAGTACTGTTTCTTTATTTATTTATTGAAATATTGGTTTGAAGAAAGACGTGCAAACATTAGTTTACCTAACCCTCAAAAAATATTTAAAAACAGCATGCCCGAGATTCATGCCAATGTTCATGGAAATTTTAAAAATTGATTTGAGTTCAATATTGTATACTTTAGTATACAAAGAATGTAACTAACAGATTGCAATAAACACTAACAATCCAATTAAGAACCCTTTCTGTATTAGAAATATGATGATAAATACTGCAAGATCAGTTATTAATCGCATTGAATATGAATTACCTCTTGAATATAGAATGTCTTTCTTTTCTTCAGTCCCATTTTTAAATATTTCTTATTTATAAAAAGTAAAGACTTAACCACAATAATTGAAAACATATCAAAACAAAACGAACAACAACAATAACAACAACAATCATATTTTAAAAAATACGTAATTATAAACCCCCAGTTTACCCTTTTTGCTATTAAATGAAATCATGTCTTACAGTGTACATAGCACGGGACTTTTTTTTAAAATATATTGTGTGCATTGACCGTATAATCTGAATCTAATTGTCAGGTTTTTCAAATCTGACAATTCTTAATTGTCTAAAGTTTTATATTAATCGGAGATAATTTGCATTGATAAAAGCGTCAATATAGACTCAGATATATAACATGCTATTGATAAACGTATTTCACGAAAGGCAGTAAATCTTCGGTAAAACATACATTTTGTAGGTCACTTCGTTTCATCAATGAAAGTAAAAAATGAAAATTTTATAATCAAATGAATTTAAATCTTGAAAAACTTGGAAACGTTTTATCTGTAATGCTGACAGAAAAAGGAATCAATACGTTTAACATTGACTTAATTCTATATACAAATGTATTATTTATGTGTTTAAACATGCTAAATTGATAGACAATTTACTCAATATTTTTTTTATTATACAATCAGGTCACATTAAGTAAATGCAACAGCATGATAAAAAAACCACAAAAACACACACAAAAAACATAGACATGCGGAGTCGCGATCTAACATTTTTGCAATATCAAATATAAACCCAATGTTTACCTTATTCGCCATAACGCTCAATAGACTAAGGGACTTTTCGAAACTATATCGAAGATTAATATATTGTGTGCATTGACGTATAATCAGTAACTAAAATAAAACAATACATAGCTGTCTAAAGTTTCAACTTAATGGGAGAAATTTTGAAATGTATAGGGCATGCTATTCAACGAAAGGGAGTCTACCTGCGGAATTTAGCTTGAAGGTCACTTCTTTTCATTAAATTTTCAATAGGGTAGTTTTGATAATTAATAAAGTTTAAATCTTGAAATATTTGGAACGGTTTTATCCGGAATGCTGCATAGTTATACCTAAAACCGGTAAGATAATCTATATTTCAAACAAACACTTAATTTTGTATACAAATGTTAATATTTTATTTATACGTGTTTAAACGTGCTAAATCGATTGGCAATTTATTTCGGAAATTTAATTAATAACGTAACGTATTGTAAGGGGATGTTAATGGTCATATATTAGGACTGTGATTGAAACAGTTTGATTAATGAAGCATTTGTATTCTGCAATATTACATTTAAATATTTCTCAGAATCGGGAGAGCGTATGATGATTGGCTGTTTAATTGACCTTTATTTTTATTACTACCATTATAATAATTTGCTAAATATTTGCACTAACCTTAATAATTATGGCAACATGTGAACAAATTTACAAGATAAACAGAAGGTAAACGATTTTATTAATGCTTTGTTTCTCATTTGGATATTGCAAGCTGAACGTTAAAAATGACAATTTTTCTTTGTTGATGCCTCTTCTTTTTCTCAAGGGAATTCTCCTTATTATCTATGCAAGTTTTGCACCCCAACCAGCGGAGTTTTCTTAAAATCAACTTTCATCATCGGCACATATTAATACAAAATGTATATCGGGCTTGTTTCAAATTTTGCTTCTGTTCATGAAAAGCATGGAAGACTTAGGTAATTCATTTTACTTGCAGTTAATTATATTTTCTGAACTGAAGTGAGTTTACGACATTCGTTAAGATACAATGTATGCTTTAAATGTGCTACAAGTGTTATATCAATATTGTATGTTTTCTTGCAAGCTCAAAAGCTATTTCCCCTGAATCTTACTTTTTAGATAAATATATATGAAATCTTTCGAGATCACTTAGTGACTAAAACGGAGCAGTAACACTTCCGATGAAATCATTGGTAAAATTGAGGTTTTGATAATTTCAAATGTGAATATGAACAAACGATATCGTATAGATAAATTATCATATAAAACTATAAAGAAATTAAACTTTATTGAAACAAATAGCGATTGAGTTTTGAAAGAATTGCGGAAGAAGCTTGCAAGATAAAATTCACATTTATATGCTAAATTTGCAAGAAATCATGCAGTCATGTTACCAAGATTGTTTAAAAGTTTAGCTGTTCTGTGCTTCCCTGATTTCTTTCACACATTACAATATATTACCAATGAATTTGCACCATGTGATTTCAATATTTTATTTGGATATAGTAATATCTGTTGAGCATATTTGTCAAATTCATGCTGTACTCAATATAGTCTATATATTGTAAGGGTCCTAGAAACTAACTAACAAAAAGCCATACACATTCATTTATAAATTATTGCAAGACGGCAAGACGCCAGGCAGTGGCGTTGCAAGAAATTTTACAGTCATGATCTAAGACTTTACTCTGAATTATAATGATTTGGCAATATGTTACCCTCGATGCTAATAAAAGTATATCTTTGTTTACCATACTGATTTCTTGACGCTCAAAGTTCATGTTTAATGTCAATAAATACAATTTGACAGATCAAAACATTGTTTAGCATGTTTCCTATCAGTGATTCGCTGTGTTATAATTTCATCAGAAATAGTCATAATATCAATCAATTGCTTGTTTTTTAAATACAGCATTATTGTAATGTTACTATGCGATATGTAAAACTCATAACTTACTTTTTGACGTAGTTTTTTCTTGATAAAGGGAGTCTACCTTGTACTGGAAAGCTTTATAAATAGTGTAAAATTGCGTCCCTTTAAGAAAGCGTATGTTGTATTGTTGTTATTTGGCTATATTAGTTACTAGTATTCACAGTCATACTATTGTCACTAGAATCATGATTCTTTTAATGTGTACGTTTATTACTGAATTATTATCGATGTTCATTAAAGAGTTTAATTGATTTATTGATTGTTGATACTTTAATGAATATGATTAATATCGGTTAACACAACAAATTTGTCCAATCAAATTTTAATATATATGCATAAGAAATAGATTTATCTGTTTGCAGCGTAAAGCAGATAATGTTTTTTTAATATCAAAAATTAAGGTCACAAGTCAAATGAGATATTTCTTTTTCATTGGAAAATTAAAATGCTACACAGCGATCGATTAAGCAGTACACATAAATTGTTTTTCACTTTGTGGTTAATTAAGATGTAAGTAAAATTTCGATATGCGCCAAATTGAATAATATAACCTTTTAAGTAGAAAGGAAGATAGTGATAAAAACTTCTATTTTCTGTATTCCAGGAATGGCCGTTTCAGGACGTAAACAAGTAGACCTGCTAGGATCAGTAGCAGCAGGATCAGCAGAAGACTTCGATCACTGCTGTGAGCCATGTCTTACCACAGGTCAACGTATAGAAGCTCACGGGTTTTGTGTCACTTGTCAAGAATACCTTTGTAAAACTTGCCACGATGTTCACAGAAAAACAAAAGTCTTACGAAATCATCAAATTTTGCAGCGTTATGATTTTGATAAGATTCAAACTACAAGGAAATCAAACAATGAATGCAGTGAAATGTGCCAAGTTCACAAAAAAGAAATAATCAAATTTTATTGTCCATCACACCATGCACTCGGATGCAATGATTGCATAACTTTAGGACATAGAACATGTAAAGTTGATTACATACCTGAAAAATGCGTAGGTGTCGCAGATGGGAAGGAGTTCGATGACGTCATGAAGAAGCTCGGCGAAAAATTAAAAGAAGCATCAGAAATTTCGAAGAAGGCTACACGCAGTAGAAGCAACATAAATGATTACAATAAAGAAATCATCAAGGCCATCTCTGAATTCCGAAAAGAAATAAACGACCGCATAGATCTGATGCAAAAAGATGCTTTAAATAATGCCGAGGAAATAAAGTCCAACACCAACAAAATTATTCAACACGTGCTTGATACATGTGAAAATATGATATCCGGTATAAAATGCTTGCAATCAAGTCTACATGCAAGCAGATCAACTCATCAAGACGGTCAACTCTACATTGGCATGAAAAAGGCTGAATCTACGCTGAAATCAGATGAATTATTTGACGCAGAACAAACATTATTGCATACGAATATGCACTACTCATTTCAACGAAATTCTGAACTGGAAACATTGTTGTGTGCGAGAATGGTATTTGGTGAGATTGTCGATCATTCTCGTCATGAACCTTCAAAGGTGACAAAAACTGTTGATCATCTGATTTGGAAAGAAAATATTAATGTTAAAACTTTATCAGATATTAAGGCAAATTGTGGTATTTCAGGATGTGCTGTTCTTGATACAAATGAATTAGTTCTAGCTGATTACATCAACAAGAAGGTAAAATTGCTATCTAAAGAGAACAAACTTGTACAGGAAGAGAAAGCTCTAGACTCAAAGCCATTTGATATTGCTGTCATGACTCAGAATCAGTTTGCAGTATCAATGCCGAAAATCCAAGAGATAGTTGTCATGACAAAAGACGACAAGCTATCATGTGTCCGCAGTATAAAAGTGGATAGGGAGTGCTATGATATAGACTTTAATCAGGATTGTCTTTATGTTGCTTGTTTGTCTCCTCCTAGTGTGATTGTACTGAATACACAAGGTGACATCCTCAATACATTCCCTCTACAATTTCTTTCACCTGACTATATCCCGTATATTGCTGTGAGTAAGGATTCCAAACTTCTGTATATCAGTGACAATTGTAACAACAGTATAGTGAGTGTATCATTACAAGGGGAAGTTACAGGTACATACACACATACAGATCTTAAAGGACCACGTGGAATGTTGATGTTAGATGACGGGTCATTACTTGTCTGCTGTTATAACAATGGAACAATTCATAAAGTCAGCGGATACTTAAAGCAAGGGAAGATAATGTATAAAGATGAAGATACTCTACAAGCAATATATTACAGTTCACGCTATGATGAGGTCTATGTTGGTTATAATGGTTTAGACAAGTTGAAAGTTTTTGACACGCAATGATGAGTTTATTGGCGCCGCCGGTGAGCGGCGTCGTCTCTTATGGAATGCTTTTTATTTTAGCCTATGGAAGGAGCTGTTATTGTTAGCAGTTAATGTCATGTTGTGTTAATTAGTTTTATTTTGATTCGTAAAATCAAGTAAACAAATATGTTTTTATATTTGTATTTAATAACTTTATGTAAAAAGCATGTACATTATGATATTATTTTTATGAAATTGCAGGCTCAGTTTAACAGCTTGTCCCTTAGCTTTATTGGCAATACTAAAGATCGGATTTCGAATATCGTTGTGGTCTACATTGATGCCGTATTCTTTTTCATTCATTTATATATTTTCAAAATTTTCGTACAAGAAGAACGTCCACCTGCAAATGAGTATTAGGATAGGTAATGGAGCTGTTGTAAACGATTATCCTATTGATTTTATCCATATTACGTTTATCTATTGCACAGAATGATTGTTTTTACAAAGTGTACCATTACCCGGATGTTGAAAGCTATCCGATTTTCTGCAGTTACTGCTGTCACATGGCCATCAAACTTTTTATGAATACTCTACCATTACTTTCCATTGCTTAATAAAACTAAGCCTGCAACATTTCATAATTTTGCTGTTAAGGGTGTTCTTTTGGGTTTCAGGTTTTCTCTATTTTAAGGGGAAGTAAATCATGTTTACTAAATTATTTGTTCTTTTATGTCTATGTTATGTATAACTTACTATTTTTGTTGTATAAAATTTACCAGTTGTAAGGTCATCAAAAGCATAGAGGCCCTGAGGAGTGACTATTGATAGATTTTTTTACTTGCTTTATATACCTTAGACTGGAGTTTTCTAGATTGTTCAGTTAGTACGTACGTACAGGTATTCTGCTACTCACTATGTGAAGGTAGTTATTATTTTCTATGTGTTTGTATATAAATTGTTAATAAAATAACCTTTGGTAAAAATGAAAGGTAGAAAATTAAAGCTATGCATATACATGTAGGTGATCATGTAGTACTACATATATTAAAACAGAGAAAGGATAACATCCTGAAGTTATCAATTTTAAACACTTGATAAACATGTATATGCAGTTAGTTATATAGTAAAGTCTAATGGAAGGTTAAAAGAGGGACAGTATTTGTTACTGTAAGAGATATGCATTTAATGTTTAGACACTCACACAACTCAATCTTTATTATATGATATAGACTATTTGAGATTTTTTTTACTTTAATACTATACATTATAGTTTTCTTTCTACAAGATTATGAATTCCATCCAAGTACCAATGTTAATAGGATGTTATATTTATTTTTAATGGAAACTGGGAATTATTAATGTAATAGCATACATGTATATCTAAGTATATTGATATGATGAGACTTATAATATTTCTGTATATAAACAGTTTCAGTTATGACATTATTATTAAAGGGATGAGACTTTCATTTAAAATTATAAATGATAATCCATATATTGATTGAAAATGTCCTTAAACTTGGATCAAGCAATATAATTAATAAAGTCTCAAAAAATCATATTCTGAATAGTTATTCTAATTTTTTTCTAACATGTGCATAATTTGAAAAGGACAGCTTCTGTCTTATCTATTTGTAATGAAGGGACATCGGTCTCAACCCCCAGGTCTCTTGAGTCAACCCGACAACAAGACTTTTCATAGAGTAGATTGTTACTTGCACTTAATTTTATAGTGGGTGATTTGTGCCGCATGAAAACCAACAAATTACAAAAAGTAACCGGGCGCCAGATGAAAACATGAAAATACAATCTGCAACAAAGTGGTTCGTTTTCATGTTTTCGTCCAGTGCCCCTGATGCCAAATACAACTCAGCCTTTATAAAATGTCTTATCATAGAAAAACAGTTCGTTTTTTTCTGTACAAAAAAAAGATATTGTACATGTATTAGTACAGTTATGTTCACTTTCAAATTGACCTGTTATAAATAATGGAACAACCAAAAACTGACTAAGCCCTTTTTAGTAAAAATAATTATACAATAAATTAAATTGTTATTTTGATTTAGACTATGGGTATGTAAGTTTTTTTTTCTTACTTGTGTAATTAAGAATTAATCTACCTATTAATTTAAAAGTCTAAAAGTATCTGCCACGGTTTAGAACTGTTCACTATTTAGGGGAGAAAATGTGTAAGACGCCAGATAGCTCAATCGCTACAGCCGCGGTACATTATTCTGTGGTCACAGGTTAGAGTTCTGGTCAAGCTGAAAGTTTTTCTCATCCTGTGACTGCATAAAACCCCTGAGTGAAATTCACTATGCTCTGTAAACATCAGAAATTCTAGGACACAAATCAATATTGTGGGGAAATATGTTTTGGTTTAGAACTGTTTCATTATTTAAGAGAAAATGTGTAGCCGGCCGGGTAGCTCAAATGGTCTTCTGACAGTCATGGGTTCGAGTCATGGTCAGGCAGTTTCAGTAAAGGCTTAGAAGTGTTTTTTTCAACTGACACATAAATCTGAAGACATTCTGTCTTATGGCATGAGTCTTATAAGATTGGTTAATTGACTATAAATTGTCTTTGCATCTTGGCAAGACAGAGTCTATTCATTTTGGTTTAAGTTTCAATTTAAACTGGGCCTAACCTCCAGGTCACATGTAATGGTACTGCTTTAAAGTACACATCTTTTGTTAAGTATTTAGGTGTGAATGATATATTTAGTAATAGGACATTTTCTTATTATGATTAGTTATTGATTATTATTATTATTGTTAATTATTTCAGTATAAGTTTTGTTCCAAATAACATGAAAGCAGAATTTTATGATCATATTGAACAGATGCATCCTTGACATTTCATAATGTGCTTCCGTCATTTACTCATCATCTAGTTGGCTCTTCTGATTGAAATTTCCAAGATTTAAAATGACGTCCAGTACTTTTATTTGATCAATAAAATTCTCCGTTGTAGTTTATTAATGTATCAACACATCTGTTTTCTAGCTCTGTTAAGCAGTGCTTTTGTTGTTTAATAAATAAAATTCTTTCTTTTTTCCGGTACTGTTTTTCATCGTTATTAGTAACAGGAGAAATCAAAACCATATTTTTCATAGTAACGTGAGGTATTTCCATGACAATTATTCCAGTCCTTTCCTGTAACAACAGCTCTTGGTAAACGAACTGGCTGGACTTTGAAGGTTTCGTTTAAAAATGATTGCTTTTTCCAAATCCTTTGCTGGATATTATACCATTGGCTTTTCCTTCTGTTAACATGAACACATTTATGATTGTTGACAGTAGTGGCACTTGATTTTTGCTTTGCTGTTAATGATACTATAGGACAAACTGTTTAGTTCTTATTATTTGTTATAAGAATAATGGAATAAACACAATCTTCTTATAAAATGGAATAAACACAATCTTCTTATAATATATTTGTTCTTATTGCTTCCATTTTTCCGGATATTTGTTATATATCGTTAACTTATTACACTTCAATCACTGCAATCACTTCACATGAAATCTCAAAACTCAGCTATACTAAAACAAACGAAAATAATTATGTTTGATGGTTTTGCTGGATGTATATTCTTTTCTACTTCTTTTACAATCTTTTGATTTAGTAGAACTGACGGAATACAGAATTGCCGACGTTACATATAATAAACATCATGTGTAAATTACTTTCAGAAAAAGTCTTCCTTATATACATAAAGGGCTTTTAGACGGAGCCCCTAATGTGACATTTTCCACATTTTTTCCCCGGAACTTGATTCGTTTTTCCTAAATATTAATTCGTTAACATTTCGTAAAAACGGATTAAATCCCGGGGAAAAAGTGTGGAAAATGTCACCTCAGGGGCTCTGTACTTTTTCACATGAACATTTGCAAGCTAAAGTTCTGGAACTCTTGTGTTTTCCATCTGCTGATTAAGGGTTTGTATGCGCGAGAAAGGGAAATCGGACTATTTACCAAATGAAGAATTTTATTATGGTCACATAATAAGACAGTTTGGTATAATTGAAGATTTTCAAAGTCTGTGGATCTTGCTTCAAGACAAAAAGACTTGGAAATTAACCTCATCATCATATAATCATTAGTTTATTAGCACCCAGTATTATACACTCACGTCATAATGCATCATATATAATGTTTGAAAAGCAAGTTATTATCGCACCGAAGATAAACATCCGAAATAAAAATACATATAAATGTACACAACCAGGGTTTATATAAGTTTCATTCTAATGTTCATTTTCAATTTTAGACATATTGCATTGAAAATCATCAGTGTATTTCTCATTGATATAGTATGAAAAGGTGACGTGTAATTGCTTGATAATTATTACAATGAATTGTTTTACAAAACATTATAATGCAATGTAAAACACGATAATTATTTATGTAAAAAATCCAATTAATTCATTTACGTTTGTCGACAATAACTTGATATAGTGGTAACGAATATAAATATAATATGATATAAATATGATTGCATGACTTTTAGTCAATATATATCTAATCTTAGTTAGATCATATGATACTTTTGCTTCTATCACGTCACGTGACATTTATAAAAACACTACTTCCAACAATAAATGCAGTAACAGTTTTCTGTAGTATGTGAAAAAGAATTAATTATCAATAGCTTAAAAGTCTTATTTCTAGAGCATCGCTTTTAATATAATAGATTTACTGCACTTAGTTTAAATCTGCATGCCTCCAGATGAGTCAAAATATTTCAAGAAAATCAAAACTGAGAAATATATACTACGATTTTAGTAAAAGAAAAATGATTCAAGGTTCAAGTAATATTTCACATGTTAATTTTTTAGTATTAACAATTATATTTCTACTGCGTTACTAACGCAGTAAGGGCTATTTATGCATATTTTGGCCACCTTTTGGTAAGTTACGTGGGTTGTAAGTGCCATTGATAAATTGCTTCCTTTTGATTATTTCATAACATTATACATTCAAATACATTTTCAAAATTTTCATGAAAATAAGGATGAATCTGGAGGTGTGCTGCTTTAAAGGTGTACACAAAATAACACACTATATCGACTATTATCAGCCTTAAAATCTTATTCATTGAGCTTTAAATTTAAGTGAATAGATGAATTGCAGTTTATTTATTGGATGAATTAATTGCTAACAAAATAAAACCACTATTATCAAGCTTTGAAATCTTATTTATCAGTTTTTATGTTTAAATATGTAGACAGAAGAACCCATAACTATCACTATTCAACAGTTTTCCTTCCAGATCACGGCAGTTAAAAACAAGAATGAATATCAACAAGGATAGGACAACGTTCAAAAGATGCAGCCCCCTGACACACCCATGCAGGGCACCCAGACGGTGAAAGGGTGAAAGGAGAAGGACACTCAATGTGTAAAACAACAAAAACCAAAACGGACCTACATTGGAATCAATGGGACAAGGGCGAAAAGGGGGTGCGGTAAAAAAAGGAGGAGGGGGGCCGAGAAAATACCTTCTATCAACGACAATCAAACAAGGCAAACATTCAAAACAAGTGACAATACAGACATAAAAATTACGTGAAGGAACACAGAGGGGTACCGCCTTGGAACGGTCATTGGTAGTTAAACCACCGGGGAGTTTTAACCGGTTTGAGGCGCAAACCTCACTCTTAGCCCCAATATGTTAATAAATTACACGAAAGTAGTGTAAATAAAATTAAAAATGTACAGTCAAATGACCACTACCAAAGTACTCGATGCCTTAAAAGAAAGCAGAGCAACAAGATAATCACATACAAGGGCACAACGAAGCAAGCTAGAACACGAACATTGAGACAATTCAGTCTCAAAGGGCTATTGATTGTCTATCATAGAATCTCCTACTTAGTCCGTAAGATGTAATAAAGAGATGAAAGCGTAGCGTCCAATTGTAAAAGGGTTGAATACTAAGCATGCGGTATGCCTTAAAATAATTGGGTCATAACATCTTTTAATAAACCGTTTGACAATTGTTTAAAATTTCATCACAAAATCACTGGTTATTGTTGGTAGTTTGCTGTTGTCGGTAAGTTTATAATTGAATTTTACTTTATGTTTTAACAACAATAGAAAAGCAGAAACAACAACAACAGAAAACATTGATTATATGGACATAAATGACTGAATACAATTAATCTTTATTGTGTCCCTTTAATATGATATTCTTAAAACAACATTTCATATCTTTGTGATAACAGCTCCATTAAAGGCCCATTAAAGGCAAGAAATGCATGCGTTTTTTTTTACGTTCTCAAAATTTTTTTTTTGTTTATTTTTGTTTTTCTGTTATAATTTCCAAAAAGTTGCTCATTGACCAATAATCTGAACCATGCGTGCTTAAGTTGCTATTTGACAATTTACACAACTATAGTGATTTAGAATTTAGGTATGGAAATCTTAATACTACTTTAATTGCAAGTAAGACACAATATTTCACATACTTTCTTTAGATAATAAGCTTCATACATGCTCTAAACCATTATTTGAATATGAATAACCATACGTTTGTTTCTGAGGTATTATTTGCCTTTAGTTAATATCAATTTTATACAGCTATTGAAATGTACAAATCAGTCAATAGTTAAACTGTTATAAATCGATAAAAACATAATGTACACTGAACATCTGCGACGCTTTTGACTTAATTGATTTTTAAATGTTTACTAATGATCACTTACAAGGCTATACATTCAAAAGTTTTGAGATGAACGGGAGATATATTTGAAATGATACGAGCCACAATACAAAAATCAATTTTTGGGCATACTTTTTAAGAGACGTTTTCGATTAAAGGAAGTCATTCTGCGGCATTAAGCTGGAAGGTCACAATGTTTTATTAGATTTTTAAGAAAGAGTGATTTATAATAATTATTACTTAAGTTTAAATTTTGAAGTTTGGACTAGTTTTATCTTGTAAACTGAAAAGTTAGACCTGACAACTTGAAAGGTAAACACACATTTTATTTTATATAATATTTATGTGTTTAAACATGCTAACATTGATATGTAAGTTACTCAAAAAAGGAGTTGATCATTTCATTACGCTAGGGGATGTAACTGGTCATATATTAGGACTGTTATTCGACCTGTTTGATTTATGAAACATTTTACATCCGGCAATATTACATTTAAATATATATTAAATAGAATCTTGGAGCGTATGAGGTATGGCTTTTTAATCGGCCTTTAATTATCACAGTCCCTATCATTAAACTACTTTGCTGAATCTTTATTTGCAATATTCTTAATATGACAACATATGAATAAATTTACATGATACACAGTCGATAAACGGATTTACGAAATGTTCTCATTCGGATGTTGCAAACAATCACAAATTTGTTAGTGATTGGTGTATGTACTTTTTCTTAAGGAAATTTTCCTTATTGGATATGCCTGTTTAACAACCCATTTAGTGCAGTTTTTTAAAAATCAACTTTTATCATTGGCACAAAACACGAAATATCTGTCGAACTGGTTTCAGATTTGTTTTTTTTTAGAAAAAATGCATGCTAGATGATATACGTAATTCATTTTGTAATATATAACCTTGTTATTATTATATTTTCCGAAAAGAAAATTACTTATATTATTGACTATACTCTGAAAATGTGCCGCACGTGTAAGATAAATATTGTATATTTTCTTGCTAACTCATAAAAACCATTCTTTTTTGCTAGCTCTATTTATGATCTATCTTATGAGTTCATGTGGTTACTAAAATAAGCTGTATCCCTTCCGTCGAAACCATTTGGTATCATTCAGGTTTTAATTATGGACATATAGATATATCATCATAGAAATTTTAGTTAATTCAAACAAATAAGGATGGGATTTCTAAATAGTTGCTATAAATCACGAAAGAGGCCCGGAAGATGTAACGCAATTTATTTGCTGATGTCGCAGGAGGTGATGCAGTCATGTTACCAAGATTGTTCAGAATTTTAGATTTTCTTAGCTTTCCTTGATGCACTGCCGATTTTTTTATTTCACTTATTGTTATATGTAATCAACGAATTTTTAGTATATGCACCGTGTAATTTTCTGATATAAATCATTATTTGATTTAATGATATTAATGATATAAATTGAGCTAAGTTTTCATATTTTAAGTCCAAACGTTCCATATCAAATTTATATTGTACTCTTTATGTTTTCCTTGTTTCTTTATTTTTCCATTTTCTTTGTCAGAGTCCTAGAAATTCGCAAGAAGTCATACACATTTATTTTTGAAGCTCGTAAGAGGTCATACAGTGTCGTTACAAGAAATCATACAGTCATAGTTTATCACTTTGCTCAGACGTTTAATGATTTTGTCAATATGCGTCCGTAGGCGTTACTAACAAATATATCTTTGTTAAGAATACTTATTTGCTTTTCCTTGCGCTAAAAGTCCATCAGAAAAAGTATATAAATTAATATTAATAACTTCGCATACTCTCATTCAGCTCGCAACATCCGGTTTATCAAAAATTGATACATAACTTCTCAATTTTACATACTTATCATTAATTATAAAGGGAGATGACTTTGAAATATAAAGAGCGTCATAAAATATATAACTTCCCTTGCAAAAAACTAGGACATGTTATTAATATATGTTTTCGAGGAATGAAGGGAAGGTTATCTGGGCCGAAAACTTGTAGGTCAGTTTTAAAAATATATAAAAATATTTATTACCCTTCCAGATTTTTTCTGCCATTTTGACTGGATATTGATCACCCGAAAGAAATTGATATAACCGAGCCAGACGGGTAATATACACACTAAATTTCCCCGTTTGGTACCCAACGTTGTAAACAACATGCGCTGAGGTGATGCGCGTATGGTTCGATTTTACGCGGTGTAAATTCCGATTTAAAAGCACTTTTTAACTGTCAAATGATCAATATTTACCAAAGTAGAGTTATGATACATATTACCATCAGTATCGAAAACAAATATGACCTTGTGAAAGCTTGAAATTAATTACAAAAAAAAGTGCGTTCAATAGACTACTCCTTTTCTCTTGTTTACTTTCGTTAGGTACGGGAAAAATACGTCATGTATTTATGTGACGTCATGTTGTGACGAAGACGTATCCTAAAGGGAATCTTATTTCGACGTTTCATTTGAAGCAGCAATGATTTTTTAAAAAATCGTCTAAACTCGGCAGGGTAGGGTAATAAAATTATTATTTTGGTTTTGGAGTGATATATGTGGATATATTACCTGCCAGGATAAAATATCACCCGAGCCTAACGGCTCGGGTGATATAAAATCTTAACAGGTAATATATCCACATATATCACTCCAAAACCAAAATAACATATAATATTTTATTTGGACTTCAAGTAGCTTGGAAATAAGCACTGTAATTGGCTGTGCTTTAAACAGGTGCAATGTTCTTGAACAATGTTATCTTACAAATTACCTGTACTTATCAGAATAATGGGAGATAAATCTGGAATGATACAGGCGACAAAATAAACTTAATTTAGAACATGCTATTTATAGACGTTTTCCACGAAAGGAAGTTAATCTGCTGCATTCAGCTTAAAGGTCACTGCGTTTCATAAAATTTTAGAAAGGTAGATGTTATAATCATTTACTTAAGTTTAAATCTTGAAAACTTTGGAATCGTTTAATCTGGATTGCTGTATAGTTAGATGTAGATGTGAAAACAGGTTAACGTAATCAATACTTTTAACATACACTTAATTTGATATACAAATGTAGTTTTGGCGTGATTAAACATGCGAAATCGATAAACAGTTTAGTAAATTTAGGAGCTGAAAATTTAATTAAACACGTAACGTATCGTCATCATAGTTTGGGACTGTTATCGAAACAGTTTGATTAATGAAGAACTATATCCTGCAATATTTCATTAAAATATTTCATAAAATCTGGAGAGCGTATGATGATTAGCTGTTTAATTGAACTTTATGTATCACTAGCTCTACCATTATGATAATTTGCTAAACCTTTATTTGCACTTTTATAAATATGGCAACATGTGAACAAATTAACAAGATACACATAAGGTTAACGGATTTATAAATGCGTTATATCTCATTTGAATTTGAGTTGCAAGCTGTACGTTGAAAATGAATTTTTTTCGTGATTGATGTATACTCCTTTTCTTAAGGGAATTCTCCTGATTGCTTATGCATGTTTCCCACCCCAACCAGCTGAGTTTTATTAAAATCAAATTACATCACCGGCACATAACATGAAATGTATATCGACCTGGTTTCAATTGTTTTTTTTTCTATTCACGAAAAGCATGGTAGACGTACACAATCCATTTTTACTTGCAGTTAATTATATTATCTGAACTGATGTGAGTTCACGACATTCGTTTAGACACAATGTATGCTCGAAATGTGATGCAAGTGTTATATCAATATTTTATGTTTTCTTGCAAACTCATAAGAAATTGTCTCTGAATCTTACTTTTAAGATCTGTATATGAATTATTGCGGGGTAACTTAGTGACTAAAACGAACCTGTATCACTTCAGACGAAATCATTTGGTATTATTCAGGTTGTGATAATTATACCCACGAAACGAAGTTTGGGGGGGGGGGTACATAGGAGTCACTCGGTGGTCGGTCGGTTGGTCGGTCGGTTGGTCCAGCCGTCTGTTGCATTTTCCTTGTCCGGAGCATAACTTGAAGACTTATGGCTGGAATTCAAAACAACTTCATACAATTATCAATCACATTGAGAGCACAAGAACCATAACTCCATCTTGTCTAAATATAGAGTTATTGCCCTTTTCCTTGTCCGGAGCATGACTTGAAAACTATTGGTTGGAATTCAAAACAACTTCATACAATAGTCAAGCACAATAAAGGAAAGTGCAGTGTACAAGAACCATAACTCTATCTATAGTAATTACAGAGTTGTTGCCCTTTGTTACTTTTCCTTGTCCGGAGCATAACTTAAAAACTACTATTTAGAATTCAAAACAACTTCATACAATAGTCAAGGACAATAAGAGGAAGTGCAGTGCATAAGAACCATAACTTTATCTAAAGTAAATACAAAGTTATTGCCCTTTGTTACTTTTTCATTGCTTTTTTCTTGTCGGTCAGCATAACTTTAAAACCACTGGTTTAGAATTCAGTAAAACTTCATACAATGGTCAGGCACATTGAGAGGAAGTTCAGTGCACAAGATCCATAACTCCATTTTTTATTACAGAGTTATTGCCCTTTGTTACTTTTTCCTTTTCCGAAACATAACTTGAAAACTACTGGTTGGAATTCAAAACAACTTCATACAATGGTAAAGCACAATAAGAGGAACCATAACTCCATGTAAAGTGATTATAGAGTTATTGCCCTTTGTTACTTTACAGTTGCATTTCCTTGTCTAGAGCATAACTTGAAAACCACTAGTTCAATAATTCAATAAAACTTCATACAATGGCCAAGCACATTGAGAGATAGAGCAGTTCTCAAGAATCATACCTCTAGACCTATTACAGAGTATTTCGATAAAACTTCATCAATGGTCAACCACAGTGAAAGGAAATGAAACGTACAAGAACCATAACTATCTTTAATTGCCGACAACCATAACTCTATTCAAATTCTTTTACAGGGTATTCTGTTATTAGTTACTTCCTCATTTCCGAAGCAGTCTTGCGGGGGTATTTATCACATTTAGTGATAGTTCTAATTTTAATTGTGATTATGGACATACGATATAGAATAGATAATTCATCGTAATTGAAACAAATAATGACTAAATAATTGCGTTCAAATCACGTTAGATGCCCGCAAGATGTACCGAACATTTATTTGCTAAGGTTGCAAGAAATCATGCAGTCATGTTAAAAAGATTGGCCAAAATTTATAAGCTGTTTTTGCTGCACTGTCGATTTTTTTATTTCACACATTATAGAAACGTAGCCGATGAATAACAAGTATTTACACCATGTGATTATTTGATCTAGTCATATCAATTGTACGAAAGACCGGTAGGGCCATTTCAACTTCATGAATTCCCGATTTCATCTTCATGAATTCACAATTTAAACTTCGTGAACTCCCGTTCTCAAAATACGGAATTCAAGAATTCACGATTCAGCTTCGTGAATTCACGACTTCAATTTCACGAATTCACGATTTCAACTTCATGAATTCACGATTTCAACTTCACGAATTCACGATTTCAACTTCATGAATTCACGATTTCAACTTCACGAATTCAACTTCGTGAATTTACGATTTCAACTTCATGAATTCACGATTTCAACTTCATGAATTCACGGTTTCAGCTTCACGAATTCACGATTACAACTTCACGAATTCACGATTTCAACTTCATGAATTCACAATTTCAACTTCATGAATTCAACTTCGTGAATTCACGATTTCAACTTCACGAATTCACGTTTTCAACTTAACGAATTCACAATTTCAACTTCACGAATTCACGATTTCAACTTCATGAAGTTGAAGTCGTGAATTCGTGAAGTTGAAATCGTGAATTCATAAAGTTGAAATTGTGAATTCTTGAAGTTGAAAAGCTGAAATCGGGAATTCATGAAGTTGAAATGTCCCTACCGGTCTTTCCTACAATTGAGCTTAAGTTTCATATTTCAAGTCCTTACTTTCCGTATCAAATTCATTTTGTACTTCATAAAGTCTCATTTTCATTGTCAGAGTCCTAGAAACTTGAAATCATACATTAATATTTGTTAAACTCGGAAGACGTTATAAAGTGTCTTTGCAAGAAATCATACTGTCATGGTCTAACACTTTACCCGGATTTTTAATGATTTTGACAAAAAGTGTCCCTCGATGCATTTCACAATACATGTATATTCTGCTCGGAACATCCAGGTGATCACCAATTGATACATAACTTCTCGATTTGACATACTTCATTATTATCATAAATTATCAATGGAGATGACTTTGAAATAAAAGAGCTCTATAAAAAGTATACGTTTTCGTGGAAAGGAAGTGAAATTAAACTGGGCCGTAAAGAAAAATGTTATTAATTTATTTTAACCGTGTAAAGGTGGGATAATAATACTGTTTCAATAAACACTGCAAAATGTGAGAAAAGGTTTTTTTTCTTTACATTTGTTTCTTTGCGTTTTACATAAATACCGGTGAGAAATATGAGGAAATTTATCATACCATTTTCGCTAAAGTGTAGGTTATGATATATTTTGACGAATTGTTAAAACTGAATAAATAAAAGGATTAATTGTAAAGGATTTGTGGCCCATTGCTTAAGGACATAACAATATTGAAATATTACTATGCAGTTATATGTAGAATTTAACATGTCGTTACTTTGTAACAGATATTTTTGTTGATTAAGGGAGATTACCTAGTACTGGATTGCTGTACAAATTAATTAAGACAGCGTATATTGTGTAATTGTTCTTGAATGAGGTATCTTTTTTTCAATTAACGCACCTTTATTTTCTTTATCGCTGTTGTTGACTTGAAATTTATTTAGCTTTTATAAAGGATTCACAGTCATATTAGTATCTCAATGGTCATGACTTTTTAATGTGTTGATTTGTAATTGAATTATGATCGGGGTTCATTAAAGAGTTAGATTGGTTAATTGATTGTTGAATGATAGCTGAACGAATATGATAAATATCGTTTAACCCAACAATTTTTGAACATCAAAATTTTATCTATTGGTTACCATTATTAATACATAAGAAATAGAATAATGTTTTCACAGCGTAAAGCAGATAATGTTTTTTAATATCAATTAAGGTCATAAATCAGATGAGATATTTTTTTATTGGAAAATCAAAATGCTACACAGCGACCGATTAATCAATAAATATAAATAGTTTTTCATTTGGGGTTAAATAAAATGTAAGTAAGAAAAAAAATCTGGAAACAAAGTGAAACCCTTAGTGAACCCTGAATCACAACAAAAGTACATGAAAATTGCAGACTCGGTTTGATTTAGCCTGTATATGAGGGATAATGAATATGTGCAACATTCCTCACGCCCTCTAGCACCAGCTTGAGCGGTACTCAATTCTCAACACTTAATAGTGCTGGCAGATTTCATTATACGCCATTTTGAATAATATATCATTTTTAGAAACAAGGAAGATAGTGATAAAAGTTCTGTATTTTGTATTCCAGGAATGGCCGTATCAGGACGTAAACAAGTAGACCTGCTAGGATCAGTAGCAGCAGGATCAGCAGAAGATTTTGATCACTGTTGTGAGCCATGCCTTACCACAGGGCAACATATAGAAGCTCATGGATTTTGTGTCACTTGTCAAGAATACCTTTGTAAAAATTGCCACGATGTCCACAGAAAAACAAAAGTCTTACGAAATCATCAAATTTTGCAGCGTAATGATTTTGATAAGATTCAAACTACAAGAAAATCATACAATGAATGCACTGAAATGTGTCAAGTTCACAAAAAAGAGATAATAAAATTCTATTGTCCATCACACCATGCACTCGGATGCAATGACTGCATAACTTTAGGACATAGAACATGTAAAGTTGATTACATACCTGAAAAGTGCTTAGGTGTCGCAGATGGGAAGGAATTCGATGACGTCATGCACAAACTCGGCGAAAAATTAAAAGAAGCATCAGAAATTTCGAAGAAGGCTAAAGGCAGTAGAAGCAACATAAATGATTACAATAAAGAAATCATCAAGGCGATCACTGAATTCCGAAAAGAAATAAATGACCGCCTAGATCTGATGCAAAAAGATGCTTTAGATAATGCCGAGAAAATAAAGTCCAACACAAACAAAATTATTCAGCATGTCCTTGATACATGTGAAAATATGATTTCCGGTATAAAATGCTTGCAATCAAGTCTTCATGCAAGCAAATCAAATCATGAACACTGTCAACTGTACATTGACATGAAGCGGGCAGAATCTACACTGAAATCAGATGAATTACATGAAGAAAAAGAAACATTAATGCATACCAATATGCACTTCTCATTTCAACGAAATTCGGAACTCGAAACATTTTTCTGTAAGAAAATGATCTTCGGTGAGATTGTCGATCATTCTCGTTATGAATCTACAAAAGGGACGAAAGCTGTTGATCGTCTGATTGGGAAAGGAGACATCAATGTTAAAACTTCATCAGATACGAAGGAATGTGTAATCTCAGGATGTGCAGTTCTCAACACAAATAAACTAGTTCTAGCTGATAGTGACAACAATAAGGTAAAATTGATATCTATAGAGAACAGACTTGTACAAGAAGAGAAAGCTCTAGCCTCGCGGCCAATTGATATTGCTGTAATGTCTCAGGATCAGTTCGCAGTAACAAATGCCATTAAAAACCACGAGATAGGTTTTGTCATGAACAACAGACGACAAAAGCTATCCATGTTGTCCGCAGTATTTAAAGTGGAATAGGTTAAATGCTAATGGTATAGACTTTAATCAAGGGAATCGTTTTAAATGTTGCTTGTTTGTATCCTTCAACTGTGCAATTTGTACTGAATACAACAAGGTGATATCCTGAATAAACATCCCTCTGAAGTTTTCTTTCCACCTGGACTTATCTCCCGTTATATTGCCTGTGAGAAAGGATTCCAAAACTTCTGTTATAATTCAAATTAACTTTCCGTACAGCAAGTGTAGTGAGTGTATCATTACAAGGGAAAGTTACAGCTACATATAAACATATAGATCTTAGAGGACCATGTGCATTGTTGTTGTTAGATGATGGGTCATTACTTGTCTGCTGTTTTAATAATGATTCAATTCATAAAATAAACGGAGATTTGAAGCAAGGGAAGACAATGCATAAGGATACAGACTATCTGCGTTCAATATGCTACAGTTCATGCTATTATGAGGTCTATGTTGGTGGCAAAGGAAAGCAGTTGAAAGTTTTTGACACACATTGATATTTTTTTTTCATATTTCATTTGATTAAAAAACGACTGAATACATAATATTTGATAATTGTTCTTTATTATAGAAAAAGGTAGACTTATATTAATACTTTATAAAAGATCTTCATGGTATTTTTTCCAAGGTTACATTATAAAACATAGGTTGAACTATCTTACATCATATTCACTTTAAAGCATTGTTATTTTTAATTATCATATAAATAGTTTAGGGTTTTACATTTTATGTAAACATGTGGCTTTACATGTTTAGTTCACGATATTAAGATGTTGATCTGAATATTTATTTCATCATAATCATAATCATCATGTTCATCATTATTTTCATCATCAGAATCATTAATAATTACTATTATCATTATATTATTATTATTATTTATTATCATTATTATCATTATTATCATCATCATCATCATCATCATCATCGTCGTCGTCATCATTATTATTATTATTATCAATAAACAAATATATTTAGAAATATATACATTATATATATAAACATATATTTACCATACAAATGATGATACGTAAGACAAATGTAAGGTGAACTTAATAATAATATTTCATATATCAGATAAGGTTGATAATCCTTTCACCAATTGTAATTTTTATCATTGATACAAAAACTGGTATAAGACCTGCAAAAATGGCGAGATTAGTAAGGGTTATATTTCAAATAACTTTAAAAACATGGTCATATATCTTGTCATACGTCTTTACAATGAATTTTTTACATTTTATGAAAACTGAACATTGCTTTATATATTGACAGCAATCATGTATATAGATTAAATAAAGGACACGATTACATGTCTGTAGTATTATATAGATTTAACAATCTCATATTGCTGCAAGCCTCACCTTTTATTTTCCGCAAAAACGAACAAAATTCAAAGTTGTTCAGTAAAAACAGCCAATGCGCTGAACTTATGACGAGAGAATTTAATGAATTATTTTATAGTGAGATACATGTCAAGATATATGTTCAAACTTAAATAAGTACCGATAGTCATTTGAGTTATTGCCTATGTTTATATGCAATCTATGTTTATATGTTTGTAGTCGGATTATAATTGATTAAATGCCATTTACAATATCATGTTTGATTAAATGCACACTGTTGTTGATCGTTTCTCATTATAATTATGAACTGAACCAAAAGAATATGTAAAAGTTGTTACAAATTTTAAAACGTAATTGTTGTTTATACTAATTGATACCACAATACACATAATCAGAATACAAAATTGTTATTATTTCCTTAACTCAAATGCATTTCCGTGTCACTTAATGCATTAAAAAACACTCCATTATCTTTTTATATAATATACATTTAAAACTTAAGAAATGTGAAACGTTTTGCTAAAAGGTCAACAACTATCACATGATAAGTAAGTAGATAGATAATATTTTAATATCACATGAGACGTTGCTTCGTCATAAACAACCAAGTTTAACATATTAATTTTTCTGTCGTTCAATTAATAATGATTTTAAAGTGTAAAGACAAATGAGAAGAAAACTTGATTAACACATATGGTCCATAAGCAAAGAATCAATAAAACATGCCATCAAATAAATCATATATGGTAAAATGACAAATATTCTATATACATGTATCTACAATACAAATATAAGATTTATATTAATTTAAAGACATTATACATCCGTAAGCCGGTTGCGATATAGTTAAGAAATGCAGGTGTGCCCTATTATTTAATAGGATATTTACTTTTTTTATTGTTTTATTCTTGCTATTGACTGCTTTAAGACACATTAAAAATGTGACCTAGAAGAACAAGATGCCTTGTGAATGTGCGTGTTATACGTACGTTTGTGAAATTCCTTCCATGATACAAGCATAAGAACATTTTAAGATTGTTGCAATTTTAAAATTAATAGTATACATATTAAAGTGAAATATTGACCGTACAACCTACCAACAGGCCGAAGTGACTTAGTTTATACATTGACGGACTTTGAAAACGCATCATTTTTATTTCTGCGTTTTTATATAGGGAAGAGCACATTTGATTCTTCTAAACATTTGCATACTGAAGGACACATGTGTAAATAATTATCTGTTAATGACAAAAATAAAATGATATCATTTTTAGGTTTGTGTTTTCTGTTGTATTTTGCACCGCCGATTTTAACACACGTTTGGTCATTTCTCGGCAGCTGATCAACTAACCGGCGTTCCTTGATAACTTACCAGTAATTACCATTTTCTCAAGTTTCTTATAATTCCACATGAAATGATATCAAAACTGTTCTCAATTATTCCCAAATAATATCTATATATTTGACTTAAATAAACATTATGTATGGAAATATACATGTTTAATAAATCAGTTTTTAAATGTGTTCAGTAAGTGAGCGTATTTACTATCTTTATGCCATTAATATGTAAAAGTACATAAAACACAATTTAAAAAATCAAACGCAGCTTTGTTATTTTTTTATCAATTTATAAACATTATTATTGCTATTCCTTTTCTAAAGACATTATCGGTGTCACTGTCACATGTTTGACTGTTTCATATCCGGACCTATGTACCTTTTAGCAAAAGGTTTTATGAAAACATCCTTGTATTTTTTCAACAACACCAGTTTTCTTTTCTTTTACTGTATTGTATTTTCTATAGTGTTTTTTGCATGGAGTTTATACAAGTAAAGAGTTTTTTAAAACATTTAAACACAACATTCATCTGGTCACTATTAAACATAGCTTAAACGATTAGTTTGGAGATCCATCCGTATGTTAGGGTAAAAATATTTTAGCAAATCGAAAAAAGACGATGCTAACACATGCTAAAGAATTGACGCGAAGGAATCCTTTATTCGATTGTAGTTCATTGTAATTTATTTTTTGATATGTTTCATTCATCAATGTGTAAGCAATTAAAACGACAAAAACAGCAAAAATGCATAAACATTCCAGACTAAGTTTATTGAGTCTGTACCTGAGGGATAACGGTTAACTGCAAAAACCCTCACGCCGTCTCGCATCGACTAAATCATGATTATCATGCTGGTAAGTTATCTATCTTAATTTAAAGGTCAGTATTAGCATATTTGTTATGTTTACGTTGTTAGACCTCCAGATAATAAAACATGTGTTAAACGTAATGTGAGGCTACTGTGATGACGTTACATATCTAATTGGTGACAGCCATATAAACGATTTATGTATATAAAATAGAACCTTAGAAAATAATTAGAAATATCTAATTTTATTAAATCAAAATTAAAAATACAGTGAATAGAGCCTAAATTCTATTCAGACCTATCCAAATCCTTATGTTGAAAAAGGATATGTTTCTTCATTGATGAATGTTTAAGCTGCCTATTTTATTGTAAAAAATTATGATATGCGTATTTGTTAAAAAGTTATTAAAAAATATTCTTTTTATTTTATTCTTTTGAGTGGATTATTGATTAATCTGGAAAATTATATTTGATTATTTCGCTGTGAAACTTATCAAAATATAATTTCACACTTCGATGACGAGTCTACATGTACCCTTTTTAAGATTCTCCCCGTTTTATTTTTATTTACAAAAAGCTATGCTGAAGCTGATAAATTACTTTAATTTCAAAAGTAATAAAAAAAAACTTACTTCAATTCATTCAAATTACCAATCACGAAATACCGTCTCATTTTTTGTTTCATTTTTACAGTCTGGAAAATACACTTCCTTCCACATGGTAAACTGTCTGCAACATTTTCAATTTTGCCGTTTTTGGCGTTCGTTCTGTAAGGATTTTTTATTTTCTCTCTTATTTTATCTTAAGATCAGCATTGTTTGTGTCGTGTGAAGGCCGAAAAAAGTCGCAGTTCAGGGCTGTTATAATTCGATTCATAAGGATTTTCAGCATAATTGTTAAGCTCATGAAAGATATAGCTCTATATATTCGTTTTTATTTTTCTTCTTAGGTGATTCCAGTGTCCCTCACTTCAATACTTAATTACTCTTAGGATATGTGGTCTGGGTTTTTTAATTTGTCTTTTGACAGTTTATCTGTGATATGCAGGCTTCATTAACTCTGATCCTCTTTCAAAAGTCCATTTTGTGTTGTCCCGACCATTGTTTTTCTCGTTTATGGCACATGCATTATTTTATTTGGGGACCATACACCCCTTTTCATGGAATGGCACTAACTTTTCAATCGAAAGGTCCATGATAACACATCTGTGGATGTTCCCAAACTCCAAATTTTACTATTTCATGTTAAATGTTAAATACTGCTTAAGCTGGTGCTTGGGGGATAACGGAACATGCACTTCAAAGTGGCTTAGATGAATAGGTTCAATCAAACAGAGCCTACAACATTTTAAATTTTGTAGGTTTGAGCGTTCTTTAGGGATTCTTTATTCTCTCTTAATTTGTCAGACAAACAAACAGGCTAACGATACAAATAAGACAAAAATAAGTCCTTAAGGAATCTAACATTTGTTTTAAAGTTTTAGACTCTTATCCATACTTAAGTTTT